TTTTTTTACTGCCTTTAATCAAGTTTAAGCAGACACAGCTGTTAGACATTTATTTCTCTGTTGAGTTTTTTCCATTAGTTATTACGAGCAATCATGATGCTCTAAAAATAGCAGCAAATTATATTCTCTGGAAATTGAAGGCTGACCTTAAAATGAAGCCCAGGTCTTCGGAAATAATATTCACATGCACATGTTGGGTGAGTGACAGCCCTGCACAAAGGCGAAACAAAAGTGCGTTTTCCACTCTTTGAGAGGTTTGCAACTCGCTTCCAAATTTCCTCAGGTTCTAGTGGAAACCGGTTGCTTTAACATCTAACAAGACAGAACCTGCTTCCAATGGTCATGTTTTGGTTGAGATTGTCATGAAAACTCACCATCTTAACAGAATAAAAGGGGAAATGTCTCATTTAGGCTGTTCAGCACAGATAAACCCACCCGCAGGTTTGTTGGAAACCCACCACATTGCTGCAGACTGCTTTCAGTTTCCTGTTTAATATTAAATAAAGAATTTTAGCTCTTCTGTTTTTACAAACTGTGCTGTTTGCAACTACTGTCACCACTGAAAGCATTATGACTGTGGAGTAGTCCTATGTTTTTCAAACCTTTTTTAAATCTTAGTATCTATTTCCAAGACATAGTAAGAGTTAAAGAGTTAAAAATAGTCTTCAAATAAGTACTTACATTAGTTCTTGGTCAGATCGCTGAACATTATGTATTTTTAAACTGCTTTGAATACTTTGAACAGGAGCCACAGAAAAGCCACAGAAAACACTCACAGTCAAATACCGCCAGATGGAGGTTCTGAATAACCAAAAGTGAAAGCAGAAAGGTCTGAGGCCGAGTCGTGCCCTGTACACACCTCAAGATTACAGGAAAAAAATGAATGATTCCCCGGTCTTGGGCAGGGGAACCTTGCATATAATATATGAGAAATAACACATGGGAGGCCAATTCAGACCAGGGCTTGAACTTCAACGTGAGACCAGGCCAAGCTCTGTCTCCATTTAAGGAAAATCTTTCACATTGTTTTCAGTTTCTTGCACATGAACTAAAGACTTGTCCAGCCATTTCTGTTGTCTGAAATGCAAAGCAAGTTTTTCTTTTAAAAGAAAGAGGAGTCCTGCAATATTTATAGCAAAGTACTTTGCCACCTACCGACAGCAATCTGGTGGTTCTTCACGTGTTTGCATGTTTTTTACCCAAGTTTCTGTATCGAGTAAGAAGCCATTCTTTCGGTCCTCTGTGCAAAAGAGTTCTTGCGGATTTGTTGCTGTTGTTGTTTGAATCAAACATGTAAAAACCCAATTCCATCCAAAGAAACTGAGACGTCTAAAATGGCATCCCGTTGAAGTCTCAGCTTCTCCACCACTCTTCGGAGACTGACTAGATTTCTGTCACCTCTCTGGGGAAGGGTGGGGACAAAATATTGCTTTGAAACCGAGCCACAGGGGGCTCTTCCCTAGTAACATGTCTGACAGGCAGAGTTCGCCTCTTCCTTCATTGGTGGGAAACCTGGCTTGTCCACAGACCACCCTAACACCACCTTACTCCTAACTGTCCTGAGGAGGACCAAAGGGAATGTCAGTTTTGCCTGGGGATGTTCAAGGCACCTAAATAACAAAAGCCAAAACAATGAACACCAAGTACCCAATTACTGCAATCCAGAAAATCATACAGCAGACAAAACAACAAAAGCTCTCCAATGTTTCCTACATGCCAGGCACCATGCCAAGAGCTTTACCTGCGTTATTTATTTTCTCCTTCCACTATCCTTCCCAGGTAGGGGCCGTTGTCCCCTTTTACAGATGAGGACACCGAGGCTTAAAGAAGTTAAGTTATGGGAGTTCCCTGGTGGCCTAGTGGTTAGGATTCCAGGCTTTCACTGCCATGACCGGGGTTCAATCTCTGGTCCGGGAACTGAGATCCCGCAAGCTGCGTGGTGTGGCGAAAATAAAATAAAATAGAAGTTGTTTGCTGGTGGTCAATAATCGGCACTAAGAGGTGAAATGAGAAGTTAAGACCCCAAGTCTCTTCGGCCTGCAGAGCCCATCCTCTTGAGCACCGCACTCTCCGATCTATTTATACTATCCAAGATCTCATTTCCAAGATCACAGCGTGTAACTTGCTTGCAGTCTACGTCTTGGGCTTCTTCGTCGGAGGTTTATGGGTTTCTCTGATTTGGTTCTTGCGTAGCATTCTTCAAATGGACCACTAAACATACACGCCCTTCCTGCTTCTGCAGGCTCAGCTGCTTGTGCTCCCATAGACATGGACATCATTCAGTGAATGACAAACATCTACAAAAGGCCGTGAGACCCAGGGTAATGGCCACACACCAGCACTGAGCTCCTGCCTGAATTATAAAACACAAAGATTTTGGGAACAACAACAACAAAAAAACCTCATGACAGTTGACAACTCCAGAGGCCGGGCCTGAAACTCCAAGCCTGTCCCTACCTCCCATCTGGATATGGACCCGCAGAAGGAACAAGCAGCTATGAAGGTGCCCATGAGGCAACTCATAAAACAATCTACTCTCTCTCCAGTCCTCATTGTTCCCTCCCCCCAATCCAACAAATGACCCACCACCACAGGGATAAAGATCTTATGGTTTCACTCCAGGCTAATGCTTCCAAGGCACAGACATCTGACCAGCAACCATTTTCGAATTATTTCTCTTTCACTTTGCACACAGAGTTAGGTGGTAATTGTCTGCCGGTTTAGAAACACCACCGACCACCACACCAGAACGAATTTCCAAACGCTATATTGCAGGGAATTAGATTAAGGCACAGATCAACCTTTGCCAACTCTATACATATGTTCAAAAAAGAGCCAACCACAATAAAAATATACTGACTGTACTACTAATCAGATTAACTCTTCCCCGTAGATCCTGGACAGGAGGGTAAACTCTCCGACTGAGGCAGCCCTGGGCCCTACAGGTCTTCAGAGTCTACACACAGCTCTGTACACTGGGAATGGAGGAAACAGGCCCCCACAGCTCACCGCCATCTCCAGCACCCATGCCACCCTCACGTCCACGGCACTCCCAACTGGATTTTGGTACCAAGGCCCAGGAGTTCATTCCCTCAGAAACCACCCTCAGATGCTTCCTTGAAAGCTTTTCTGGTGCCACTACTGGGATCTCATGTCCAGACTGGCCAAAGGCTCCATAAAAAGTGGATGAAGTAGAAAGCTGAGGTCTGTGGTTTCATTCTTGAGAAACCCTCAACTAACCACAGGGATCTGATTCCACTGCCATTTAGAGTCATTCTCTGGCTTCTGGCAACACCAGCTCCCTCTGAATCCAAATTAAACCTCTCTCGGCTTCTTTGTGATACCAGCTTCCTAGCAGAGCCTCCAATGGTTATGGTAAGAAAAATAAGCCGGGCCCAGACCTTCCCGGATCTCCTGTGAACGAACATCCAAGTTACGTTTGCTGCGAACAAAATTATGCTTTGCTGCAAACAAAATATGCTTTACTAAGTCAAAGCAGGCTTTCTATGCTGTTTTCCGGGGCTCCTCCCTCACATCCTCCACTGCTCATTTTTCTAGATCAAAATCTGCAACTCATGGGTAGGAGGAAAGTTACTAAGGCTGACTGCCCTGACTTATCGAAACAGAGCTATTTGTTTCCTAATTACATTCTTAGCTCTACAGCACTGGCCAAAAAAAGGTTTGTTCATTCATTACGAGAACCAATTAGTAAAAATAAAATCATAAAGCTTACCCTTAGGAAGGACTTCACTCATGGATTCGGACAAGCCCCCAGTTTAATGGGACAACTGAGGCCCGGAGAAGTGAAGTGACTTAGGGTCACATGTCAGAACGCACACTGGTAGTTTCCTTTCCGGTGTCTGTTCTTCTCTCCCTTCTCAACAGCACCCAATTCCCCAGCCTGGTGGTTTGGGCAGGATTGATCCCATCATCAGCTCCAGGGGCTGTGGACTGGTGTAGAAGAACAGGCAGGTCCAGCCAGGACTCAGTGGATGGGCCAACACATTTCCTGTCTTGTTCGGACACTGAACTGGATTTTCTGTTATTTGTAACCCAAAGCCTCCCAACACATCCCCCATGCAGAGTTAGTGGCAGATACCACTTCTTGACTCCCTGTCCACGGATGTTTCTGCCAGAGTAAAGTCTTTAACATTACAAAATAGAGAAAACTAATCTAAAGAAAAAAATGCAAATGGGGGACTTCCCTGGTGGTCCAGTGGTTAAGACTCTGCACTTCTGATGTAGAGCACATGGGTTCGATCCCTGGTCAGAGAACTAAGATTCCACATGCTGCGGAGGGCAGCCAAAAAAAAATAAATAAATACAAATGAACTTATTTACAAAACAGAAATAGACCCACAGGCAAAACAAACCCCAAACATAGTTACCAAAGTGGAAAGGAAGGGAGGGAAGAGATAAATTAGGAGTTCGGGATTAACATATACACACTACTATATATAAAGTAGATAACCAACAAGGACCTACTGTATAGCACAGGAAACTATACTCAATATACTTATACCTTATAGGTAATAACCTATAAGGGAAAAGAATCTGAAAAAGAATATATATACGTGTGTATGTTTATGAATATATATGTATAACTGAGTCACTGTGCTGTACATCTGAAACTAACACAACATTGTAAATCAACTATGCGTCAATAAAAAAAAATAGAGAAAACAGCATTTTGACAAATTTAGTGACTGGACTTGATAGGAATAAAAAGATTTGGGAGAAAAATGAAATTAAACATTATCGATGAGCACTTTAAAAGTATGGCTAAACGTATAAATTTGGCCATATTAATAGAGCATTACTGATGAAGGGAGAATTCATGAATGGAGATTAACTGGAAAGAATTCATGGCTAGAGGGACGGCCAGCTCCACCTAGAATTTGATACAAACCATGACTCCCATTCAGGTCTCAAGAGTTTGACCCTAAGCTGAGCCCATACCAACCTCCCTGAGGGACAATATCTGAATTTTATATCCCCAGGTGCCCAGTTCCAGATCGGGTGCTGACAGGAAGGTGATGATGGTCATAGTGAAACGGAGCAGGACCCTGTGGTCCTCACCCGCCATGTCCTCTGCCTGCATTTTGTCTGTGGAAAAACTTCAGCCAAAGAATAAGTTTAATCAGAGAAGTCAGAAAATGCAGAAACAAAGGAAAACAGTCAGAGGAGACCAAATAATAATAGTTTAGTCATTAAGCATAGTCAAGGACCTTTAGTCTCTCCTTAAGGGCTATAGATAATATTCTGAGCCGTATCCCGTGAGCTGTCATATAGATACTGAGATCCCCACCAGGTGGAAGAAGTTACCTACATGATGAGCAGGCTGTAGCCATGACATCAGCTGCCACAATTCTGAGAACTGGCCTCAAAGAAATGGGAACAAACCGACCCTGGAACAGAAGATTAACTGTAGCTAAAACAATCAAGATGACGCTGGTCAGACCACAGATGACCAATTTCAAGATGACGGTCAGAGCTGACTGTGCTGTTTCTGCACGTAGCCCCTTCCCTCCGTCTATAAAAGTTCTTGCCCCCTGATTGTCAGGGAGGGGGACTTGGCCTTTGGACAGGCGTCGGCCCTCCCCCCCCCCCCTCCCCCCCCCCGCCCCCCCCGTTGCAGGCATCCAAAGTAAAGCAAATTCTCCTTTCCACCAACTTGGCCTCTTTATTGGCTTTTGAGCGGCGAGTAGCCAGACCCCACTTTCAGTTACAATAGTGCCTTAGTTTATTGTGTAGTCACTACAGGAAGACACTGAGCTGTGTGTTGCCACTCTGTCATCGAAGGCTCCCAACGATCAACGTGAGGTAGATTGATCAAAGTAGACAGTCAACAAATGATACTGAATGAACGACTTGCACAAATGTAACTAAATTAAGATTCTATTTAGTGTCAATGAGAATTCATTTTTAGTAAATCTAAAACTATAAAATTAAAAAGATGAGTGTCAGTAAATATAATAAAATATGATCTAGTTAACATTTATTGAGTACTCACAGGAAAATTTACCATGAAATACTGAAGCTTAAACCTCAACACCCCTCACTCACACAGGCCCCTTCCGCGGCCCAGGTAAGGACTCCAGCAATGTGTCTAATAGGCATCTTTTATATTTAAGATTAGACACTGCATACAAACATTTTAAATGCTCTGAAACCTTACAGCTCACACATTGAAAGAAACTTGAAAGAGCTTTCCGCAAGTTTGACAATAATCCTAAAAATTTATCTGACGTTACCGACAACCAGTTGTAAAGCTAAAAAACTTTTTTTCTAAACTATCAACTGTAAAAAACAAATCCCAACCAACCGCGCTATAGGAATGGGTGAATTATCTTGCTATTCTCTAGAGAGAAAATGGCATTCCAAAATCATTATCATATGAAGAAATGATCAAAGAGTACAGAGCCCAAAAGCTGTAGGAAGAAAAGTAACATAGACACATGTTACACAGCTGATCAATAATAATATTATGTTATTTTGATTTCATGATGTTTAGGATGTCAGCTTTTTAATCATACACTTTTTTGTGTTTTCTTTTATCATTTGAAATAAATGCTTACTTATACCTGGTTCCATATTTGTAATTTTACATTCTTTTCTTAAAGAGTTCCCTCCTACCCCAAACTGAATAGGCTTCAGGCCACACACAGCCCGCATCTTCCCCATGTGCGCCTACCGTGTGCCAGGCTCATCGCTTCTCATGGACTATCTCCTCTGTCGGCCAACAGCTCCTTGAGGAAGGTACGATTATCTTTACAAGAGACCTGGGCTTCAAGCTGGTTAAAATGACCTGCCACAGGTTACTCAGCTAAGGGGTGGCAGAGCCGGGAGTGAACCCAGCAGTCTGATCCAGCAGGCTCCGAGCCAGGGCGCCATCCGCACTCACCAGGTCTGCTTCTTGGCCTGCCCGCCCCCACTAAGGTGAGAAAGTTGAGGGCCACCCCCTCCTCTGATCGAGGTGTGCCTTCCTGGCCTCTGGCTGCTGCAGCAGCTTCCCAGTAGAGCTTGGGGAAAAGGGAGCACCTCAAACCCATGCAGCAGAGAGAGCCCTGTTTCAGTTCCCTGCAGAGCTGTGGGTTCAAGCCTTGTTAATGAGCAACAGGGGGACTCTGCAGCGGGTCACCTTTCAGCTACACCCTCTTGGTCCGTGACCAGCCCTTTCCTTTGATGTTATTTATGGTCCAGGTGATGGTGATTAAGCTGCAGCAAAACAAATAGGGCGAGAGTAGGTCCAGGTGTCCAAGCCTGGTTGAGGTCTGAATACTGAAGGATGACCGATTTAGGAAGGGGACGGGGAGAGGACTGGACACTGGTCCAGCTGCGGAAAAGGCAACCCTGAATGAAGTGTGAGGGCACAGCTGAAGCTCCAGCTCTCCTTCCACTCCAACCAGGCCCCCTGCCCAGGGTCTCCGCCCAGCCTGGGCCATCCCTTCCCCTCAGTTCAAAACAGCAACTGCGCCCTCCAGTCCCTCCTCTGAGGCCTCTTCCCCAACTACCCGAAGCCTCTGCACACAGGACTGGACCTGCCATTTCTTGGTACCACTCCTTTAATGTTAAAAATGATGACATTGCAAGGCCGTGTGTGATTACCTTCTCCAAGGAGTGAGCTGGGAAGCCAGGAGGAGCCCATGGAACCTGTGCAAGTAGGCTAGACCTTTGATTTTGCCCTTAACCTAGTGTCACTGCTCATTTCCAGGGCTCTCAGTCACCCTCCGGGTCACAGCTCTGTCCTACACACCCCACCAGCTTGAACAGAAAAAACTTTCCTGTGCTAGATGGGATATAGATATACAAAGTCCCAAAGGGAGAGACCACCCAGTCCCCAGTCTGCAGGGTGGGCTGCGTTAACATATCTAAAGAACTAAGTGTCCTCCTGAAAGGGAGGGAGGGGTGGGAGTTGGGTGGGAGGGTCAGGGTACTGGAGGCCCTTACAGATTCCACAAAGGTGGACCTTTTTCTAAGACCAGCCCGGTGCACTGGGCAGCATTAACCCTGGCCTTGAGGTTGGGGCCTCAGCAACAATGGCATCTAGCTACACAGGGGGCTGTGAGCAATTGATTCTGCAGTCGCACTCATTCAAATCATTGAAATCATCCAAGCCTTCCCTTCCTGATTCCCAAGCTCACCAGACCACTTCTAGGCAGTGACATTTCTCACTTCAAATTAACGCACAGGTGTTCTGATTTGCCACACCTGTCCCGTGAGCTTAGTGAACAGGTGCGCCCTTGGGAAACAGGTTTGCAGCTTGGGCTGAAGTCGCTTCATGGAGGTGAGGGCACACAGCTGGAGCTCTCCTTCACCTCACCCAACACTGCTGTCAGCCATCACCACCCACCGTCATTATGTCTGAGAAGCCAAGTAGACAGAGTCCTGCCCAGCAGACAGTAAACATTAGAAATCTTTGCTGAGCAAGGGATGGAATGAGGGATTGATCGATCTGTTCTAGGAAACGATGGATCCATTAGAAGGAATACACTCGTACTTTTTACTGCCACGACATCCATTTAAAAGACAGGCGACAGGAGGGGCAAGCACATAGGCTAGTCAAGCTTGCCGGCATGGCCAAGTCATTTGACCTCCTGGTACCTTACTACCTTCACCTGTAAAATGGGGGTATAATGCTTCCGTCATAGGGCTGCGAGGAGGATCAAATAAAGGGACATTTGTAAAGCACCTACGGGGATGCATGGCACAGGGTAAATGCTATACAAGTGTTTACTATTATTATGTAAAATATAAAGAGAATTATAATAGAATGAGAGTTAAGAGCCAACTTTAAGAATCATTCGCTCATTATTTACAATAACTGTGCCTAATACCGGTACATTTTCTCCCAAGCAGAATGATTAAACCTTTTTTTCTTTTCTCTCTTTATAGTTGAAGGTATCAATAAACCATTGAAATTCTTTCCTGGAATTAATTAGGATTTCTCGAAGTTTTCTACAACTCCCCGAAGATTTGCTGAAAAACTTTTCTAATCTTGGTCCTAGATCCCGTGCTGTCTCTGCTGAAAGAAAAATAGCACTCCCTCTCTTAACAGCAGAACCGGAATACACTTTCCTGACCTTAAGGACAAAATTCTCCAATCCCAGCCCAGTGTGCAGGACACTGTCCTTGGAGAATGCACGTTCCTAGGCGGGAGTGTTGCGGGTAAGCTGAACACGTGGACAGCTAGTTTCTAAGTCATTTTCTTTGCAGACCCACCTGTTCCTCTCAGGGGACAGGTATCAGCCATCTCTAGTGACACTTCCGCGCGATGTACCATTGCCTCGACGCAAATGCGTCACATCACTCCCAGCCCTCTGCCGCTAATGAGAACTGCTCGTTGCTGCGGATGATGAGGCAAACAGAGAGCTCATTGCAACACATTTGTGGTAATTAGGCCCTTCCTGGGGTCCACATTCTGATGGGAGAAATGGATTGTAGGCGTAGACTGTGGGCCGGATGGAACATTCTGGCCGTGCAGGCAGACGATGCAACTATGCCCCTCAATAGCGGAAAACACCCCCAGGCTGATTAGTTCAGGGGATCATGTGCCCTGAATTCTCCAGGGTCTCCCCAGCGTCTCCCTTGAGGCCACGCCCATGTTCATGGGATGAGTGGCCGTCTACTGCTTGTTAGGTACAGTCTATTGCTTGAACATACAGTTCTCAGTTTTATCCTAAGCGGCCAGCCTTCCCAGCCACGGACATAATTTACACATCAGCCTCTACCCAACTTCAGGGCCTGCTCAGTGTTCGAACTGAACATTTCTCATGGCTAACTTGACTTTCCCACCCAACATCAGAAATGAAGAAGAAGGAGGCTTCGATAGCAAACTACAACCTGCCAGCCAATCACGTCCACTACCTGTTTCCTAAATAAAATTTTATTGGAACAAAGCCCCAGCCATTAGTTTACATATCACCGATGGCTGCTTTCCCGAGAAGGGGCAGGGTGGAGCGGTCCCAGCAGAAACTGTATAGCCTGCAAAGCTTAAAATATTTACTATCTGGCCCTTTAGAGAAAAGAAGAGAGGATGACAAAAGCCACCAGAGTATTTGTACCAGTTCCTGATGGCTTATGACTCATGGTTTAAATGGAACAGTAGCCTAGTGAGTTAGCAGAAGGGAACGTGGGTTCAATT